GGGTTATACCTTTAGGTCGTTAAGCCGTACCCCGCTTAGTCTAAGCACCTCCTAGAAGCGGGCAAACGGCTAATACGGCTCTCGATTGCGAGTCTCCATTATTAAAGGAGTGTCTTTAAGTTAAAAGTAGGAGTTCAAGATCCCTAGCCAAAGGTAGGAGGGAGACCCCAAGATCGCTACTCTCAGATCTATGAGTGTCCCTATAGGTAGGACCACTATGTATAGGCAAGGTTCCTCACTTATAGGGATTTCCAGGCGGGATAGCAATATCTTATATTCCCTCTATGCCGGCTTGCTTTTATCTATAAGGGTCATTTTAGGGATATATCCCTAAACCACTCTGCCAAGCTGAAATGCCCAGGTATAGCCCCCCTATAGGTTGTGGTGAGCACACCACAGTCTCCTGGGAACATGTTCCCAGAGATGAAGATTGGCGATTGCTCTAGGTTGGCCCCCAAATGTTTAGCAGTGTTGCTGGACACTGCATAAAAAGCGTCGCGGGGAAACCAGTTGCCTTCTCGGTGTCCAGGAAGTGATCTATCGCTGCACGTCGCGCTCCCCTATCTCTGCATTCTTTCTGGCTCGAAAGTGCACTTCTATGCCCCTGTATCCTCCACGTCGATACATCCAACATAATGATCCCTCGCCCTCTCAATAACCTAGTGACAGGGAGTTTCTCTATAACTATAGGTACAAGTCCAATCAATTATTATTCTCCATTGCTGACCCATGTAGACTGACTTGGGCTTGACATTGGCATCTTGCTCCAGCGACGCCCAGAGGGGCGAGTATCCCGATGATACCGAGCATGAGACTCCCACCTCCCCCCTTGGCCGGTCCATTGAAAGACTGTGTCACACCGCTTCCCGAGGACTTCCTATATGGTCTGTCCCCTGGCCCAAGCACTTCTCACAACCACAACGCCCGCAATAACGAGGGCCTCCTCGATGCTCAGTCGGACCCGAGTCCCTCTCGAGTCACTAGCCCGAACCTTCCGCACGGGTTCTGCAGTCATAGCCTTCCAAGTCCCCCGTTAAGGCAGTCGGCTCAGTAGCGCCTCCGCTCTTCTTCTTACCCGATAACCCTCCCCCTTCACCGTTTAAGCCTTTGAGAAGACTTAGGGTGCAGGAAGCATCAAAAATCCCTCAGTACGCCGATAGTGCCTGCATTTGCAATACGTCTACTGATACCCTGCCTGCAGGACGCAATACGATGTACTAATTATACACTAAAACCTCGCCATAGTATAGTTTAATGAGGAGAAACTTATATTAGAAGGCACGCTGCTTTTGTACGCTTTCAACCTTGTAAGCTGTGAAGGCCTTAACGACCTTATGTCCGGACTCTTCTACTGCTTACAGACTGGTCGTGCAATCTAGATCATCGGCGTGCCATTTCCAGATCTCGGGAAGTGGACGGATTATCTGATAGAAGCTGGTTTTAGTTAATTAAGGCAGAGTTCCTGCGTTTAGGGGCAAGGGTCGGGGCAGTCGCATAGTAAGTATTTCAACCGCGTTGAGCCAGTAAGTGGATTTAACCAACAATATAACGTACATGATAAGCGAGTGGCGCAAACAAGCGAGTGGCGCACGGGACCGCGACTACGCGACTTTCCCCATTCAAACGCGCTTTTCTCTACTACAAACAATGGAGTCAGGAACCCAAGAGAGCCAATTGATCCTAGCCATTCGGGCTATCCAGAATGACCCAAATCTCAAGGTCCGAGCTTCAGCTAGAATCTACAGCGTCCCGGAAACGACACTTCGTCGCCGGCTCAACGGCCGGTCCTCACGACGCGATACCACGCCCAAATCGCGGAATTTGACAGATCTGGAGGAAATGACAATTGTTCAATATGTCCTGGACCTAGATGCGCGATCGTTCCCTCCGCGGCTTCGTGGAGTGGAAGATATGGCCAATCGACTGCTCGCCGAGCGCGACGCGCCCAGCGTCGGGAAGCGCTGGGCCTCTAACTTCGTAAAGCGACAACCGCAGCTCCGGACGCGTTTCTTTCGCAGATACGACTACAAGAGGGCCCGGTGTGAAGATCCGGAGATCATTCTTGGCTGGTTTGCGCTTGTACGGAATACAATCGCGAAGTACGGCGTCGCGGAGTCGGATATCTACAACTTCGACGAGACCGGCTTTATGATGGGCATCATCTCGACAGGCATGGTCGTCACCAGTGCAGGCAGGCGTTCCAACACGAAATTAGCCCAGCCTGGAAATCGGGAATGGGTTACCGTGATCCAGGGCGTCAATTCCCAAGGCTGGACGGTCCCCCCATACATCATCGTTTCTGGCAAATACCACCTCTCGACCTGGTACGAGAACAGCGCTCTACCGCGAGACTGGGTGATCTCCACGTCTGACAACGGCTGGA